CCAAGTCCTTCTCCTCGGGGCTGCTCTCTTTCTTAGTATCCTAACACTTCACAATTAGCTTGGGCATCACTGCATGGCACAAAGCATTTTTGAAGTTTGGCTACTTCCTCACTTTCCCATTTTGTACCACAGTTCTTAAGCCTCCAGCATCTGCATTATTCATGCTGTTTCATTCAATATGAACAACAATCCTGTACTTATACTTGCTGTGCTTAGAAAAAAGAGGTCCAATACATATACAATTCCAGAACGGATTGGTGCATGGTACTATTAAATGAGTCACTGGCTAGTAATGCAGCTGTCTAATTATTAAATTGGAACAATCTGGGTTTCTTGGTTAAAACTCAAATTGAAGTTTATTGGATAACATTTATTTCAGATAAAACAAAACATGGTTTCAATTTTCAGGCAATCCCAGTCAAAATGAAAGGTTACATTCACAACAAAGAGGATGAAGCAGAACAGTTGGTGCTTATGATTATTTTTTCCTAGACCATTATTTAGTGGAGATAACTTTTTGCCATCTTTTTGTCATCCTAGTCATAATATTCCGCAATATAGACAGAATTACAACGTCTGGTCAGGGTTGGAAGGGACCTTAAAGATCATCTAGTTCCAACCCCCCTGCCATGGGCAGGGACACCCTCCACTAGCCCAGGTTGCTCAAAGCCTCATCCAGCCTGGCCTTGAACACCTCCAGGGATGGGGCATCCACAGCTTCCCTGGGCAACCTGTTCCAGTGTCTCACCACCCTCAGTAAAAAATTTCTTAACATTGCATTTCTGCAATATTGTCATGCTTTCAGTCTGAAACTTGCTTTACAGAAGTTTAATTCAATTCATTAATACCTTGTGGAACTGGAAAGTGTTATATGCGTGGGAGAAATGAACCAGAAAGAAGCTCACTGCTTTGTACAGAGTAATTCAACAATGTAATGATGGAGCCTGTGAGGGGAGGCAGGATATTTCATCTCCAGTTCTGTATTTTAACAGGCGACTATGCTTCTCCTTTCACTACCTCTTTTGCATGTTGATGTGAATATTTCCCCAGTGTAGATAAAGCAGTGATACTTGATCAAGAAGTGATACTCACCACAATCAAATGCAGTACCTCTGAGTTCCATGTTGTGAGCAAATAAATGGTATCTGTGGCAACAAGAATCTGTCTTTTAAGTGAGGGACCATCATCTAGTGGCCAGCAAGGTCACTGAAAATAATTTTAATTGGTCTATAATGTGATCTTGTCGGTAACATTTTGTTGTGATTTATTTTTCTCATCTGTCAAACAGAGAAACCAATAATTTTCTTTCTTGTGTGAATGTTGTGATACATTGTTTTATAAACAATAAACTTGGAGACCTTTGAATTGCAACCACAAAATTATGTAAATATTGCTCTTAAATAGAAGGGCAGAATTTCTACACATTAAAAGCCTTTGCATCACAGTTGATGCTTCTGCTCTTGAACTTTATTTCTGACAGCCCCTTGGGCTACCCAGTGGAGGAGAAAAGAGCTGTAGTGCCTTCTTTATAGCATTTTTCCTGGGTCATAATCCAGTTCTCTTCAAGCTGGAAGGAGCTTGCAGAGGGAAGCTGTTCTCAGAGAGCCTTTCTACTTCTTGTAATGCTTCTGTGAAGCAGAGTGACAGAGAAGATCCTTTCTGTATTTGAGGAATTAGTTTAAGCTCTGCTTTAAATTACTGAAATTGCTTTCAAATTGAAAGGACAAAACTTTCTTACTTTTCTGTTAAAGAAAATTGCAGAAGCAACATCTGAAGAATACAAATAATCTAGCAATTAGAGACAGTCTCAAAAGTGATTATCACAGGATTGCAGAAATCATGCATGAGATGAAAGAAAAGAAAAAGCAACGATGTCTGGATCTTGAGAGGCTTACCCATATCGTCACCTGCATTGAGGAGGAAATTCTGCAGCTACACAAAAAATATGAAAGGGCTATTCAGCAACAAAATGAGAGGTATACATGGAAATTCGATGTAATGTAGTGTTTAATTTTGATATTGATGGATCAACACTGTTTTTAATAAGAGCACTCCACATAAGGATTACTAAAAGACTGCCTCACTGCAATGTTTCACTGCACAGTCTGCCTCACTGCAAAGTCAGGGCTGCTTTGCGTCACACAGAGATTTTTACCTACTGGTGAAGGTGTTCACTCTTCAGAACTATTAGTAAAAAATATGGTAGCTTGGCTACTGATTGCCTTGAGAGCTTGTGGCCTCCTATTCTATTTGTGCTTTGTGCACAGATAAGGTTTGAAAATGCAGAAGATGTAAAGCTCCCTGATCATGTTAATCCATTTTTAAATGAATGCTGTGGAAGGCCAGAAGAACTTTAAGAATGATATGAGAGATTAAAATAATCTTTGTAACTGTGTGTTCTCTAATTTTCACATTGTAGTTATTTTGTTACCTGTTTAAAATGTCATGATCTTAATTTCTTTTTTAAATCTTTGTACATTTTCCTGGATTATTACAGTCTTTCAGCATCACCAGTTATGTTCTTGAATGGAATATACTAAATAAGAGTTAATTTTAAACATATGTCACCTTTTAATTTTCGACTTATTGCAGTGGTCTTCTGCTCAAAAATCGAGAAGAAGAACTGTGCATTTTGTATGAAAAAATAAACACGCAAGAGATGTTGTGTAGAAATGGAGATATTGAGATGCAAGTTATGGATGAGAAGATCAGATTTCTGAAGCTGAAGATAGCTGAGAAAAAAAGACAGATTAAATTGTGGTCCAAAGCACTCCCACTGAAGAATGCCCTGGATGCACATCTGGTGGTACTTCAGATACAGGTTGGTGGGAAAGAAAACCTTTTTTTTGTTTGTTTGCTTGTATTAGTCTGTATTTTAAAACTTCAGGTAATTTCATAGAAAACAAATGTCTGCATGTACAAAGTTTATTCAAACAGAAAGTTCAGTAATACACCTGTTCTAGTAATACACCTAGTCTAACACTGATGTACGTTTGCAGCTTCGGGTATGTGAGTTTCTTGCTTACATGTAGCTGGCTGATAACGCTTTGTTATGCACATGCCAAATGCTCCCTGGGTACGGAATCTCAGCTAACCCTCCCCATAGCCTGAAAAGTCAGTATGACTAAGCTGGAGAATGGGAGTCATGGAGAAAAAATGGGAATGTAGATAAAATCTGTTAAAACTGTATTGATGGGGGTAGGTGGAGGGGTGGGAGATATACTTAGCTCTTCAAATGCCTAAAATAATAACTCAATTCACACTTGACCCTGAGCCTACTCTGGAAACTCCGCTGCCTACAATGATATAATCCACATATATTTTCTTCTACACAAAAACAGTGTAAGTTTTAGTTCTAGTTACAACATGACATTAAACAACTAACAAACTGCAGTGTTTGGGACATTCTTTCCTTGCTTTGTGAAATGGCTCATTTACTTTTGACCTTATCTCCAGATGGAAATTTTTTCCATACATATTCTGTTAGCGTCTGCACAAAGTCCTAAATTGGGGTGTACCATTGCCTTTCGTCGTTGCATCGGTGGGAGCTGTGACTCACTGTTAAATAGTGGTTGCACTATTCTGTTAATTTGGGTAAAATTTTAAAATAAAGAGATTGCATGCTCTGCTAAAAGAATAAAATGTTGTACAGTGCCTTGTGCAAATTATAGCCCAAAGAACTTCACAGTGCCATTCCAGATTTAAACAATGAGTAGAGGGAGTATGAAAAAAAGACAATAAACTAAAGAAAAAAAAAGAAAGAGATGTTTTCAGGTGAGATTTAGAATAAGACTGAGAGTCACTGAGTCAAAGACAGTAACAAAATACAGATGATTTTTGTAAACTGACGGTGTCAAACATGAAACTTTGATTTTTCTGTTCTGCATTCCTAAAACTTTCTCCTTTGTGATGAGGGTTCACGTGAAGCCTGAAGTCACTGTTAAAAGGAGGCTATTGTTACAGGTGCTTTCAATCTTTTTGCAATATTGACATAAAATTAAAAAGTAGGAAAATACAGAATGATGTGATATTACACATGGAGTAGTCGTAATAAATGTTCCCAAAAGTCAGAGATTTTCCAGTGAAGAATGGCAAATAACCAGTTATCAGCCTTTAAAATGTAAGTGGATACTGTGGTTGCCAAATAGTATGTGATTCAAACTGGCCATTAACCCAGCCATCTCCTTATGCACAACTGTTCTAGCATTAATACTCTTCCTCCCACTGCCAATAGCCATTATGTCTAGTGAGAAACAGTTTCAAATTGTTTGGCTTTACCTCCATGATTTAAATAAAAGCCATAAGCGTCAGCCTGAATTCTGGTGTTGGTTGCTAAATTCAGAATGCTAATTTCTGTACCAGTTACAGATTTTATGCCATGGTGAAATCCAACTCGGCATCTCATCAGTTATGGTGTGCAAAGGCTCTTATGATAATGATCATTTCCACAAGACTTTGGCTTGATGTCGTGAATACAGATCTAAACCACTTGTCTATGAAGCCAAGCTCTGACACCAAGCTGAAATCTGAAGAGGTGGTAACAGAAACTCCCTTTCGACTACCATTTGTCTGTCTTTCAATTCAGAGAGAGGATCAGTCCACCACAAGACTTTGAAACCCTGATTTCTACCAAAGACTACTGGATGTCCTATGACGCAGACTGTAAATCTTGTTTCTGAGTTCTCCTCTTCATTTTTATTTCTCCATTCTGTTGCGACCTTGTGCAGGAGCCAGCATGCCCAACTGTAACTTGGTGCTAGAAGCCCACTGAACAAATTACCCAGATAAGTGAACGAGGTCTCTTTATTAACGGAAAGAGCTGGGTGTCTTTGCCTCCAGATGGAGATGCTGATAACCTTACTTAGGCAGCATGATATTCCTCTTGCAGGTCTTTATTTCTCAAGGCACCTACCTGTCCCCAGTGATTGTATAGGAAACTTTGAATCATGTAAGAAGGATGCTACAAATGGCTTCTGCATTTGAAATACAGTTCAGAATTAGGCAGGCTGAATCCTGCACCTATACCTCTCAAATTTTATTCTTCCTTTTTTCCTACCATTCCTGTCTCCCTAAGTTTTGGATTTTTATCAGACATTGTCATCTTATTATTATATGTCCTATTTTTCTCCTCACCTGCATTTCCCAACCATTCTATTACCCCAGAACTTTTTTTCCTTTTTTCTCATTCCACAGGGGAATTAAACTTTCTGGTATTGAATGCTGAATGATTTTCCAACAGATATCTGTCATTGGTAATAGTTGAAATATATAGAGAGACATCTGAAAGGAAAACAAAATCCAGTCTCATGAAATAGAAAAGGTTTCGGTATTTGTTGGTTGTCTACGTTTCAGTGAGATCTTCTGAATTTTCTGGACACACAGTTTGAATCTAAGTCTCACATATTCTCTATAGATCCTTATGGAGAAACTGACCCCCTGTCTTGGTGGCTGTGGTACCCATTGGGAAGGTGAAAAGCACAGGTCAGGGCTGTGTGCCAGTTCGGGAAGAACAGAAATGTCACCTGGGTCGTCTACATTCCAAATCACCTGCTTAATCATCAAACTGATGGATGTTCCACTCTTACATTTTTCATCAGAAGCTGCATATTTCCACCAAAGAGCAAAATGTTGGTGGATAAATTTTAACTAAGAAAATACTGTTGTCTTAAGCAATACCAGACTTGTTCTCAGCAAGTGCTAATAAGGTGGAGTACGTATGTTACTACCAAGGCAAAGCATTCAAAATAGAAACATTTAGAGGTACCTGGTGAGATTCTAAGGTGGTTTTCTCTGGGCATAAAACTATGTAAATTTTAATTGGGCCTGCACATCAAGTGACTGTTCCTGCTGGCTGAAATGACCCATGAAAACTAATCTGCCTTCATGCATCAATGAGAAATACTTAGCATTAAGCGTTAATTAGTCCAACACATAGACCTGCTGAGCTGTCAAGGTGCTGTAGATGGGACTTTCGTGCCTCAGAGTTCAGCTGACATACAGGGACTGACAGTTTGTTTGAGGCATTTGGCACCAACATTTGTCCAGGTTTTAATACAACCCCTTGAAAATCTCCAGACTACATCATCACAGTCACAGAAAAATGGGGCTAGTAGAGAGGTAGAGTTCCTCTAGGCAATCCTGTTCCAAACTCCAGCATCAGACGGCCTGTCATTCCTGAGAGAGCTAAGTCGTGCTTTCAAACCACCGCTGGGAAACTCCAAGTTTCCCCAGCAAGGTATCCCAGTGCTTCCTTAGCACTGGATTTTCTTAACCATTAGCCTGGATCTTTCTTGTTGCAGTGTAAGCCTGCTGATCTGTATTCTGTCCACAAGAGACATAACAAGTGGAACATTCTCCTTCTCCCTGCAACATTTCATGTTACTGGAAGACAGTTAATCCTGTTCCTCTCCCATCTTTTTGCTAGGCTACATAACGCTGTTTCTCTCCATCAACCCTTACAGATTTTTCTTAGACCATTCTTTTCGTTTTGGCAACATGGTCTGTATTTTTCTTGAGGTTCAGTGCCTAATATCAGTGTCTGAGAGTGAAAGGATACATCCAGACATCTTGCAGGTTATACTTCTGCTTGTGTGTCCAGGTATGGTGGTAGCCTTTCTTGTAACACCATGACATATTGATTCATGTTCACCTTATGACTGAATGTAACAGCCAAACTCTTCTCTTAAGAAAGGGTATCTAATCAGTTGGCTTTGATTCTGTATTTGTACAGGTGATTTTTCCTGCCTACATGTAGCATTTGTTATTTAATACTCTTTGTTCAGACCTTTTTTCAGACCAATGTAATTTTGAATTTGAATCTTCCCCTCCAGAAAGTATTTGCAGTGTCTCATTGTAGTGATGTAGTACTTACCTTACATTTTCATCAAGACTGTGTTTCCTTAGCTTGTTTATTAGCATGTCATATGAAACAATATCGAAGCTATGTAAAACATCAAGATGTATGATACCTACCATTTGCCATCCACACACCTGTTAAGTTTTCATGGTAGGAAACTGGTCTGGTTTCGCATGACTCCACACACCTGTGTGGGCTGTTATTCCTACCCTTTTTCTTTTGTAGCCACCCGCAAAGGAACTTTAATGATTTGCTACAGATTTATTCTTCAGAAACAGAATCTAATTATCTATAGTACCATACCACCTTTCCCCCCGTTTTTAAAAACAGGTATGACACTCTCCCTTTTCTAGTGCTCTGCATACCTCACCTACCTTCTCTGAATAACCATCAGTTCTCCACTTTTTCAGGCAGGTCCCTTTATCTAGATATGTGTTCCCTCTCATCTGTTCTTCCTTCAACAATTCCTCCTGACTGATTGCAATCAAACATAGAATAGCCTCTCTTGTTGAGCCTTTTCCTATCCCCTCTATCAAATCCACTCCAAGAAAGAAGGCATTTTTTTTTGTTTTAAGATTTAGAATCTTTTAGAACCCAGATGAAGTCTTGTCCAAGGAAAATAGGAGAAATTATGAGAAAATAAAGAAAGATGCCTATAGTCACATCACTTCAGCAGACACAGAATAGCATGGTTATCTCTAAATGTGCTTTGTTTTCCATACTTTTGGATTAGACTGTGGCTAACCACTCCCAATCCATATTGCATTTAAAAGTAAGCCTAGTATTTGAGTTTAACAAGAAACTTTTTATTGATTTTTTTTCTAGTTTGGATTGTAGTTTTGTTGCAATAGTCCTTCTTCTCTACATTAACTATTCAATCCTGCAAAATTTTGCTTGGTGAGCTGTCCCTAACCTCATTAAGGCACCACTGCCTCCAACAAAGCATTTTCAGCTGAGCTAGTGGTTGAGAAATTTGGCCTCAGAAGTGAAACCTCACTGGGAGCATACCTGCATCCTGTTGTTTGTGCTAGTCCTGCTCTTACATTCTTCCGCTCTGTGTATTATTGAGCTTGAGTTTTAGATGTTTATAATTAAAATGAATAAATCTTTCAGTATGCCTGAAATCAGTCACACACTGAATGGCATTAATTTTAAACTGAATCACGACTGGACAAGGAACTTGTTTATTACAGTCATTTAAAGTTTTTACTTTTTCTGCTCTTAGACAAAGTATAAAAGAAAAAGCAGTATGAAACTTTTTTACCAGAAAAATAAGTATTTAAGACAAGTGTTCTGGTAGTGTTCCACAATCACCTAAGACGATCTGTCCGTTCTCCCTTTTACAGTTAAACATGACTTGTTAATTTCCAGTGAACAAACCCCATCCTGGTAGCAACATCTAAACATTTAATTTGTCTTTTTTGCAAACTGTTCATAACTTTAAGAGCCAGTGACCACTTATTTCCTTAAAAATATCATCACCTGCAATTCCTGGTTAGAATTTACAGCAACTTACTTGGGTCGTGTTATGTTGGAGCTAATAGATCAAAGTCAGAGGGGCAACATGCTGACGGATGGCCAGGTGCATTTCAAAGCACAAAAAACTCCACCACTGGCAGTCCTGCAAGTCCCAGTCACTCCTTCAGCGAGTATTTACGTGAAGCGTGGATGTCCATCTAGCCTGTTCTGGGAAGTGTTGTTCCATGGGAAGGGCTCACATGGGAAAGGTCAGGGAACACCTGCCTCTCTGGGTCCCAGGAGTACCACATCGCTCAGTGTCTGTCCCCACTGAGTCACTTCAGGACACGTGCTGGGAACTTTAACGTAGAAAACCTGATGCCTGGAGGGATGAGACCTTCAGCACTAACCAGCGGGGAAGCGGGACTTTCAGATTTAACTTGCAACCAAACAGGCACTTGTATCCTTCCTGCATCCCTAAATGGATCCTGTAGGTCAAACAGAAGATTGTAGGGATAAAGGAAGACCCCTCCCATATCAAACATTTGGTGTATTCCTGAAGATAATGGAAGTAGCCTGAGGACAAAGCAGCAAGTGGGACTCCACTTCTGGCAGACAGCAAGGGTTTGCTTCCATCCTGCAACTGTCACACCACTGTCTCCTTTAAAAAAATTAAAAATGGCTCATCATCCCTTGTATTAACCCCTCTCCCTGCCCCTCCCCCCCCCGCCCCAGCACAAGGAAATCTTGTCTGTTAGTGTTAAGAAGCTCTGCGGGGACCTGCTCAAACCATGAGTCCCAGAGGAGCCCCAGGCGCCCACCGCTGCCCCGCGCAGCCGCCTCCACCACTGATGGTGCTGCAGAGACCTGGGGAAGGAAGCAGACAGCGGTGGGAACTCCCACCCTTCCCGGTGCTCCTCTCCCTCCTCAGGACAGAGCTGTAGGTGTGGTGGGTCTCAGCTCTCTGCCCAGCCCCAGTGACCACACTCCATCCCCCACTAACAGCAGCTGTGGAGCGTGGCCCTGAGCCTGCCCCGCTACAGCCCACAGGACGGGATTTGGTACAAACCACCTGCGGCTCTTCAGCCAGGCCACCAGCAGAAGGTGAAGAAGCCATCAGTCCCTGGGACAGCCTTTTTCTGACTTCCCAGATGTGTTCAGAAGGTGGAAATCATCTTTGGTCCAGGGCTCTTGCCATGCTACCTGGTGGCTCAGAGAAAAAGCTGCCTCTGTGTGGCTGAATTATTCATACACAAGTTTAGGTGGTTGTGTTGCACATGGAGAAGGAATCAAGGGAACAAGCGTTCAAGACATTTAAACCATTAATAAGATGAAGCTGATTTATATTTGTGCTTTATAAGGAAGACCTGTAACACAACCCACTGTTTTTCAGATTCCCATTCATTAGCAGTAGGACAGGAGAATGATGTACGTCCATCTCTGGTTTCATAGGGAAATGTTTCCCAGTGTTTGACCAGTGTTGTTTTGCCGAGTCCTGCACCGCCCAGGCATCCCAGCAAGGCTGGAGTCTTGCTTCCAAGCCCAGGTATTGGCAGTGCAGCCACCCACGGCACACCCAGGCTACTTTAGTGCGGTTCTCCTGGTGTAGGTCATTCCATCTCCAGTCATGTAGTAAAAGCAGGGCTTTTGGCTTCTTGTCTGAAAAAATAACTGTTGTGGCTTTTTGTTTCCCAGTATTCCCAGTGCAAAGACAGGATAAAACAGATGGAGGCAATCTTTGCTGACCCCATGAATGAGACCAGAAAGCGGGAGTTGGGAGGGAAGGACCCATCTCCACCTGAGCTGCTAAAAAAGATTGAGCAGGTAACATCACTTCTCACGTCACAAGTGCTCACACTGAGTGACCTCTTCCAGAAAAAGCAAATGGTATCTTTTATTTTCAAAATAAACGTTCTGTACGAGGAATTACAATAATTATAATTGGCTAATGGGAACTCCAGCCCAGAGTGTGCTTTCAAGGGCAACTCGATGTGGGACATTTTGACCTTCCAGCAGAGGGGGAAGTATATGGGCTCGGTGTACTGCACCTGGCTCCACAGCAGCCCCTGGGAGCTGGTCCATTCGCATCATTAGCACAGACCCTCCTGCTTCGCTACAGGAAGGCACAGAGAAGGCGGCAGAGGGAAATAAATGCTGAATAATGAACTAACAAATGAAGTTGTCATTCTGCTGCAACTGGCTCCTGGCTGTTCCCCTGCAATGCTCAGGCTGTGAGCGGGAGGCAGACCCACTGCCCTCCTAACCAAGTCCGCATATGTGACACAGGATCAAACATCCTTCTTGGACTTCGGCTGTACCGCTTTGTTTCTGTGCCCAACAGGGAGCCCCAAAACAGACCTACACGGTAGGGGCAGTCGGGCAGCAGAGCAGCTGCACACCTGCTGGCAGCACCACCAGCCCCTGCCAGAGCAGGTTTCAGCGTGAAATTAAGCTTCAGGTCCAATGTCAGGGCACCTCCTGTATTGCGCGTGGGGGGAGGTAAAGGAATGGGAAGACCAACCACGGTGTTTTCTTATATGTTATTGTCTGTCCCATTTACAGGGGCACCCCCCCCCCCCCCCACCCCCCCCCCCCCGTATGTAGTGCCTGGGGAGATTCACACAGGGCTGGGGAGGTATTAAGGTACCGGTGAGCTGGGAGCAGTATGCATCTAAGTCCTCCTTTTGAAATCCAGTTTGTAATGATTTACCAAGAAAGTTTCCCAGTATGTACTTGAGGTTTTTGCTTTACTTTCACCTGTTCCTTGACAAGAGGGAGCTCGGGAGCCCAGCAGGCTACACCAGAGCCTGCTCTTACTGACCCACACAGTAGAAAGCCAGGTTTCTTGGAGTGTAAATGTTCTCTTTCCATCTCCTTGTGTTTTTAAAGTCCTTTTAGTTACACAGTACTTTCTCTTTTAGTCTTTGGAACCCATACTTAGGTTTTTTTTAGCAGCAGGAAGGAAAAAATATTATTTAAAGCAAGAGCTGAAACCTTCTCATTACGGCGTGACTCAAGGAGCCAGAAGCTTAAAAAACCAAACCAAAACAAATATCACTAGAAAAAAAATAATTGCTTTCAAGAAAATCACAGCAAGGCAGTAATAATGCTGGTGTAACCCCCTGACCCCAAAAGGGCCTGGTCCGATAAGGAAGAACTGTTCAACTGACAGTAACCAAATGAACCAACTTTGGCCTGGTATTTGGCAGAGAGGGTGAAAATCTTGAGAAAACTGATGAAGTGATTATTTATGGCTGTTCACCAATACTATTTCAGCAGCTCTCAAAGCAGTCACAGGAACTCCTTGTGTTGCACCTTCCCCTGTCATTCACCTACACCCTGTATCCTCCTCCTCACTGCAGTTAGAGGTGGAGCTGGTGCAGAAGGAGGAGAAACTGCTGGAGATGGATTTTCTCTACGAGCACGTTTCCCGGCTGACGGACAGAATCCGTGCCACAGCGCAGGACGGGAAGCAGGACACGCTGCTGTTAGCTAAAAGGGTAAGAAGGGCATTGCGCACTCTGCTTGCCAGCCTGGACAAAATGAAATAATATCTGGGCAAGGGGCACGATGACTCACTTGCAAATTACAAAAGTGGCTGGAAATAGTGAGAGGCAAATCACGTTAGTCTTCAGAAAGTATGGACATCAAGTAGTAACAGTAATACATACCAAAAACATTAGGTGAGTGTAGTTCCTGTTTGAAAGTTGCACTGTTAACTAGTACCTTTCACCAAAATTTAGGATTAGTTATTCCTCAGGTAGGTGCTTAGAAACTCGGTAAAATCCTCCTTTTGCACATGCACTTAACAGCCCATCTACACCAAACACTTCAAAAACTAAAAAGAAATAGGGAAAAGCCAGGTAAGCTCTAGTCCAACATACAAAAAGATACATTTGATACCTGGGTCAAAGTTTCTTTGTTATTTAGGTAGGGAGAACCACACAGGAATGAAATATTATTTTCAATACTTACTTTTAGATATTATAGTATTTCCTTTTAACTGCCAGTAATATTGTTTGGGGGTAAGCAAAAATCCTCTCACCTTGGCCTCTGTAATGAAAAAGCTCCAAATAGAGCAGAGCTGAGTGAAAGATAGGAAAAAAGTGTAATGTATTTAATGTAAAACAAGGCCAGGGTTGATATTTTTTTTTTCCCTTAGGTGTTAGGTCTGGTACTCAGAAAGGCTTAGAAACAAAACACATCTCTATAGTAAATCTTTAATTTTCCACAGACAGAGAAATGACATGGCTGTTATTTGGATTTGTGAAATCATGGCCACAGGCTAATAAACTACTGTAAAAATGGCAGCGTGCCAAATGTTACATTTGAGCGCTCTGACTCTCCCAATTCCATGTTAGTTAGTTAAGAAACAGTTTTGTTGGGTTTTTTTGTTCAAGTCATCCTCAGACTCAAGGATTCCTGTCCTGCTCCTCTTCTGTTCATCCCCCTGCTGAGGATAACTTCCAACGCGCAGCCCCGCTGCATCTGCATTATCACTCGGTTGTTGTAGGGATCAGGCTCCCTACACCTTTATTACAGAGTTAATTGTGCACATGGGCAATCGGAATCTGGGTTTAACGCCTGCCTTTGCGGGCGGTGGGAGTTTTGCTGTTCAGCTGAGAAGGGCAGAAGATAAACACAAACTTGCTTTTCTGTACCGTGTATTGGTAAATGCACCCTTTATAGATAAACGCGACTTTTTACACAGGTTTCTATGGTGCCAAGTGTACACAGAAACACACATCCTGTTTCATTAAGTCATTTTCAAGTATGAAATAATTTCTAAAACCAAGTCAAGCTGGACTTGTTCTCACATAAATACTTACCCAAGTGTCATGCCAGTAAGTGTCTAGTGAGAAGCCCTAACTAAAATGCAGCTGTTACTTATTTCAGACAAATGAGCTGCAGAAGAAGATAAAGGACAGAACCCAGAAGATGATGGCTCTTGTTGCAGAGCTGTCCATGAAGCAAGCACTCGCCATCAGACTCCAGGAGGAAATGCGAGACAAAGAACAATTTTTGATGATTGTTTCATCAAGGATAGATCAAGGCCTTCCCCCTCCCAAAGAAACAGAAAATGAGTGGTTGAAGGTGTTACGCAATGAGAAGATGCAGAAAGAAGCAGCTGAAGCAAGAGCGAAAGTAAGTTTTTACCATCCGTTGCAATTAGATCCTCAGCCCCATCTTTCACTGCTCTAGCCTGTCGTTCTGCAGAGCCATGCTAACTCCCTGCAGAGCTCTCCCCTGCCACACACACTGCTCCAGGAGTCAGCGGCGATGGTGGTGCAAAGACAACTGCTAAAGCAGAACACGGGGTTTGTGGAGCTTTACCTGCAGTGTGGCACAGCGCTTAGGGCAGATCACTGACCCTTACGGAGAGAACACATTGCACTGAAAGGCAGACTTCCCTTCAATTATTAGAATCACAGAAGGGTTTGGGTTGGAAAGGACCTTAAAGATCATCAAGTTCCAACCCCCCTGCCATGGGCAGGGACACCCTCCACTAGACCAGGTTGCTCAAAGCCTCATCCAGCCTGGCCTTGAACACCTCCAGGGATGGGGCATCCACAGCTTCACTGGGCAACCTGTTCCAGTGCCTCACCACCCTCACAGTGAAAAACTTCTTCTTAATCTAAATTTACCCTCTTTCATCTTATAACCGTTACCCCTTGTCCTGTCCCTACAATCCCTGATAAAGAGAGTTTCCCCATCCCTCCTGTAGGCCCCCTTTAGGTACTGGTAGGCTGCTATTAAATAGCTATTTACTATTAAATTACTATTAAACTAATTAGCATGACCATGTTTTGGGATAATGGGTGAGACAGCCATCGGTGAAATATTGCTTTCCATTTGATTTCAAGGTAAAGCTGCAAAAGGTGGGGTGTGGGGTTTGGGAAAAATAAGTTTAGCACCTTCCACATACCAGCTGCAGTGAGCATCGGATCAGAAGTAGCAGGAAGTCAAATTGCTGGGTAAGACACCAGGTAGGCAGGGCAGCACATCAAACAGTGCTCCAGATTCTACCCTGCTGGATGTTGTGCCTCCTTAGTTGAGGCCATTAGGGATCCCTGAGCAGAGAGCTCCCAGAGAAGAAAAAGTAATATAAAAATTGTGTACTGATGTGTGTACTGAGGGAACTCTTGCTGATGGGAGATGAGCTTTGCTATAGGAATGCTCTAGTTATCACTCCGAGGAAATCTGAAAGGTGCACAAAGCTGGGAAAGGAACACACTGTGCATACACTTAAAGAACTTGAAGTCTGCAGTAAAACTTCTCTGTCATTAACACTTCTCCTCATACCATGACGCAGTTTCCTTTCAGTGCTGTGGATACCAGCTCACTGCAGTAACTGTATTTGGGAACAGCTGCTGTCAGCGTCAATACAGCGTGTTTTGAAGCATCAGAACAATTATCCCATTCCCGAGAGATTCTGTGCACACTTACTACAACTTTTATAAGTTAATCTAATCTGTTTTCTTAGCAAATAACGAAAGCATTACAGGCTCAAACTGTATGCTATTTGAAAGGACAAACACATGTATCTACATGGTCAATAACCCATGCTTTCCTTTCGGTGAACATTTAAAACCTCTCTGGGTTTCCTGATCAGCTAAGGATTAGACTAACGGTGTTTCCTTCGTTAGGCATTCTGTACGTTAGCTCAGGAGAGTACTGGAATTTTAAAGCATATAATCACTATGGGATCAAAATGTGCTTTTTTCACAGCATGCTGCAGAAGAGGAACAAGCTGCAGCGCCTGGCTGTGTCCACACGACAGCTGAACAACGCCCAAACGCCTACATCCCAGATGATGAATTCAGTCTCCCAGTGCCGCGGCCCTACGGCGCTCTGGCTCCTTTCAAACCGAGTGAAGTTGGTTCAAATATAAGACATTTCAGAAAACCTACTGTAAAGCCGATTGAAATCTGAACAGCACCTAAAGTAGGAGAGGCCACTAGCAGTTGCTGAATCTCAAGGTCAATAGCATTTACACTACACTGAAGGAATGTCCATTCATGTTTAGCCAAATTCCATACTGAAAACACAGTAGTCGTTAATGCCTGAAGCATAGCTGAATAGTCAGTGAGACAAAGTTCCCTTCTCCTGGCTAGAGGTGCCTGGTATCCCAAATGCAGTGCAGTATTTTAAAATGTTAAGAAAAATGAGGCATCATCGTACTATGCTTTTTTTTTTCAAGGTAAAGTTTTATTGCATCTGATTATATTTTATAATACATTTCATTAAAAGAAAAGGCTAGAAAATCTTCTCTTGTTATTAATATAACACAAAGTCCCCACCGCTCATACAAATACACCAACACAGCTTTCTGCAGTCTGGGACTGGAGCTTACGCTTGTCAGACAAATTTCAATTATATTGAGAAAAGTATTCATTCCCTCCATGCAGTTACTGAGAAAACCAAAACTCTACCTCCACTGATGACAATGACAAGGGAATGACCATGAACTTGCCGAGTCCCTCCTGAGAGCTGGATCCTTTATTTCACTGGTTAGCAACAGGAAACATCAGTGGAAACTCCTCAGAGGGAATATCAGATGTTGCTATTGAAAACCTCCAAAATCTATCAAATTTTCAATGAGTTTCACTGGCTTAGTAGTCTGAGACTTTGATGGAGTTATTTTTAAATGCAATAAAGACTGTAGAAATCCTACATGTCAGAACTGAAGATTTTCTCTGCATAGCAAACCACTATTACTATTTTAAATTAATGTCACAGTTCAGAACTTAAAAAGACACCAAACAACAGTGCTTCAGTTATACATAAATAAAAGTTGAAAATTAAGAAAAAACAACCTCCATCGTTTCTTTTTGAAACCGAGGTTTGAAGTGTAACACTAAAAGCTGTAAGGAAAGAATTAAGTAAAACTCTGTCCAAGTCACCGTTAAGGTAAATTTCTAAAGAACTTTTTCTTATCCTGTATTGCTTACAACATATTATATGTATCTTAAAAGACCAAAACAAAACTGTGTCACATGCACTTTAAGATTATATTTTGTGCTAATTACAAAACTGAATATATTAGAACCCAACTGCAAAGGCAGAAGTACCGTACAATAACACATGACCACCACAAGGAATGAATACAACGTTACTGATGCATTGCATGCAGAGACCAGCATTTGTTATTCTTACCTGCTTCACAGGAACACACCAAGAAATCCTTTTATTAATCTAAATAAGTAAACAGTTACCGGTTTCTTGTTACTGTACAGTACAACTGGACTACCTTTTCCAGTGTTGTCCGTCTTCTTAAAATAATTGACATTAATACCAATTTTCACAGCTGAAAAATACTTGCTACTTTGATACTTCCTGCAGTTCCACTTATTTGACCACTTCAACATGAAACAATGAAACCACAGATACCTTTAATTGGAAACCTGGGTTTGTGTCAGACAAATTCTCTAGGATTTATCTAGAAGTCAGTGATTTCAGCCTTAATACATTGCACCAAACAATACTGAGTAGCTTATGTCAGTAATGGTCGCTACACAAAACTGCAGATGATTTGGAAAACATGACATTTAAGTTTAAAACAAACACAAAAAAAGTTGGTTGCACACTTCAATGTGAATACTTAAGTAACAGTATCACAGTTAGCTTTCTTCAACAACATGTTATTTCAGGAATAGTTGAGGCCCAAAAGCGTCATAGTGTGTTTGAGTGCTGTTTCCTCTACAAATCTTACATTAACATGATCTTGGTTTTCGTATGGATGCACACCTAGAAAAACATTGTGAGAAAGTTAGTATTTACAAAATCATAAGTGTTCTTGTCCTGCAGTCTATTAAGCATCTTGATCTACAATACTAAAAGATAAGGTAATAGACAGAACTGTGTTTTCATTTACTCAAAATACCTCCAGCTTTCAGTGGAGCCATTTGGATGCTCACCCATGGCAGAACCTTTCCTGTCAGTAAATGACAGACCAGCTCTGGAGGCCACCAGGGATTTCCTACTACATTCTACACTGGGGAAGCCAAAACAAGCTTTAAGCACAGTGGCTAGGTTTGTGCTAGTACATAAAATGCACCAGGGCACATTCTCTTATAGTTCTATACAGTTTCACTCTTCTTCCTCCTCAAATGGGATGGTATCCATACATGGAGAATCCTGTTCTAGCCTTAAGGTCCTTATCCCGACTTTATTTTGCTTACTAATGTAGGCATAGCCAGTAATACTAACAGGTATAATGCTTCCTTTAAGGCACCTTGCTTTTTGAGTGGAATTCAAAATCTTCAGGTTCACTGTATGAAGCAAGTGCCCTAACCAATTTGAATTTAATTTCAAAAAGAAGGAACAGTGTTGAAATAGAAAAATGCCTGTTACCTCAGAGCACCTCCTGACCTAGTGATCTCAGTGTCTTTTCTGAAGTGGAAAATCTTATTTTAGTTGCCTCTTAGCCATCATACTGTATAAATAGGGAACAGGCTATTCTCCTCATTTGAACACAGAATAACAAGCTACCACCACACTGGACATGACCCATGTTTCACTACATGTGTTCACTACAAGTTTGCCAGTTGGATTCAACACACAGAGGATTCGGATAAAAGGATACACAGTGAAGAAGCCGCTGACAACTCCCATCAGCAGCAAGACAACCAAACCTACATGTTCAGACATCACTGAAATTTTAGAACTCAGTTGTGTCAATATAGTCAGGATATGGCTGAGTGTGAGCACCAAAGAGTAACAAATTCTGATCTTCCCAAGTACGGAATTAACATTACCTTGACTCTCTATCTCTGCCAGCATATTAGTCAGGTAATTCAGTGGCAAAAACTCTACAGGGACCGAGAGTCTCTCAGGAATAGGCCTGCTGCACTGAAAGGAAGAATATTTCAGGTTAGTTCACAAAGTCAAGTGTGCAAATTGCAGTGTTATATTTAGTGTGTTATAGTCTACAGAAAGGACAGGAATGTCAAAACTGTCAAAGCAAAAGACTTTTAAAAACTGGCCTATGTGCTCTTACCTGCCTGTTCCCCAGCTTCTCAAGCAAAAGTTTCACATATTTCCGTGCAATTAAATTAGCATTTACTGGATGATTCCAAAACTGGTGGATCTTTTGACCAAGAGTCTAGTAAACAAAAAACAAAAGCCAAAACCTGAGAACATAAATACAGGACAGTGGAAACTTAGAAAGGTGAAAATGAGGAAAAAAAACAGAAACAAAATCCAGGCTGTAACACAGTGCTTTGCTTCCAAACACTGATGACAGAAGCCTAGCCGTCATAATTTTTAGCCTCAGAGCCTTCCTTTCAGAGCCAGTAACTAAGAGATTAGAATATGCTCCCAAAACATGGGAAACAATCAAAACCTTGCTACTAAGTACCCACTGAGCTACTCACTGAGTTTCTATTAATCAGTCTGTCCCATTCTCTCTGTCCCACTTTGCATGTGCACTTAAATATTAATTGAGGCTTAAAATGACCATTTATCCTTTACTGTGGCTCTCTGGTTTAGACTCATTCTTCTTCCACAGAACAACACAGATGCCCCATTCCTCAGTGCTGTGTTCAGAACAGAGCTTCTCTCAGGCTCAGTTTAAGGAAACTTACAAAAGCAGAATGCCAGCAGAGAGAGATACTGGGAACACAATTTGCATCCCATTATTCAGGACATTGTCCTGTGAATTGATAGCATTCCCAAAGGCAAGAGAGATTCAAACCCAGATGTCCCAAAGCTTCCAATCCTAACCAATAAGCAAACAAATATGAACACACTGTGAAATTAGCTCCACCTTCTGCTATTTTTTCCCTATCTAGATTCCACCCCCCCACACACACTTTTATCTGTATTGCAACACAGACTACTGAAAGCGTTCATTCAGGAAACGCTGGACAGTTTCACTGGTGCTTAGATACTTGCTTCTGATGCAACTGAAGTAATCTATGAACGTAACCTGCTCAAAATAGTCCGAGTCACCCCAAAGTGTCCTTTTTGGCAAACAAACAATTCACTGCATTTTTTCCCAAAGCTGTAGATAGATACAATAAGGCATTGAGTCCACTGTGCATAACTAGCAGTACATGTCCCCTAAAGCACTCACAGCTCAGCCCCTCACGTCAAAGCGCGGTTGGAATGGTGTTCCCCACCCACCAGGCCTGGGGCTGACAGCTCCAGGAGGCCCCGCGCTGAGCCCAGCTCACCAACCCATGCCCAAAACAAGATACAGAGAACAAAGAGTGTCCTGTGGAGTTCTATTTCCCTACCCCTTTCAAAACTGCTGCCAAATAAAGAAGCCCTTGTTAGAGAAAACCAAAGTGGCACTTCTGGCCATTTGAACTACATGTAACAGCCCATAATGAGCAAACAATAAGCAACTTATGTTGAGAAAAGCCTGTTCTACAGCAAGGCACTCCCCAAGGGGGGATCCCTGGTTTTCCTCTGCTCACTGAGATGTTGTGCTTCATCTACAGTACTGTCATGTGCGCTAGGAAGTAAAAGGGGAAGAGGGGAAGTTAATGTCCCATTCTGTTGCAACTTTTAATGGAGCATCAGTAATTAGTCCCAGCACGTGGCTAAATGAGTCACCTCACCAACGGGCGAGGCTGGGAGATTCCACAGAGGGGAAGATGTAATTCAGTCCCTGCCACCGGGTTGTGATATGCTCAGATTTTACAGGTTTTACTGTACCACCTTTTGAACCTATTTGATAAAATGAATAAAACTAAAAACAGAGATCATAAGTGAGAAAGGCATTTGTGGATGCTAAAAACCATACACACAATCCTCTTTAAACCCCATAAAACTGTTATTGCTTTATGCAGATGAGTACCCAACAGAAGTGTCAGCCTTGTCTATTTGACTCCTGCAGGGTACTAGAGACACTGTAAAACACTAATGACAAATCTACAGTTATCAGCGTACCCTACAGGGCACGAGCAGCAGATTGAGAGCCTGTG